TTTGAGCTGTTGTGGGGCACAATAGACACTCTTTGGCAAAAGAGCTTTACAACACTGAGGAAGCCTGGAGGTTGACAGCTCTACTGGAGACACACATCTGGGTTACCAAGACTAGTCCAGCCTTAGGACCAACCTAGTTCAATGGCCAGAAGAGCTAGGGTAACCAAACTGAGAAGACACCCACGTTCCAGCTATGTGGTGGGTCATGGCTCATCATCCTGCAATTTCCAAAAGAAGGTGAAGGGCCTCTTATCCACAGTGGGTGGGGTGTGTACGTCTTCAAAGGCCCACCCCAAGGCTCCTACACCACTCCAGTTCTAGTTCAGTGCTGCTCTGCCAGCTTAGCTGAGACTCACGTGGTGCAAGTAGCAGAACGCTGGCTTACTGCCCCCAGGGCCCAAGGGGTGCTCCTGGCACATGGACAGGAAGGTCTTCCAGCTCTGTACAAAGAGGATTTAAGTAGCATTGTCCCCATTTTCTCCAGACAGAGAGACTGGCTCCTGGGAAGATTGTGACTCCCCCTTAGTTGCTAGGGGAAAGCCAGTGATGCAATTAGGAACAGAGTCCAGATCTCCTGACTTGTGCTTGCTCCAGGCTGCCCTAGTTGCATTTAGGTCCGTAGCAGCCTTTTCACCATTTTTGCACAGACTGGCTAGTTCTGAATTGCTGCCTGCAGAGGCAAGGAACCCTTTGGCAACAACACTCCCATCATGGCAGGGAGCAGGAGTAGGAGATGGAAAATCTGAGGAAGGCAGGAGTTTACACGAAGTCAGTGACTCTTGGCAACATCACATTAAGTGGAAACCTATATGAGCCAATGATAGATTTATTAGTTCCAGGCTAAATGTTTTGTACTGAGATTTTGGTCGCATTTCATTTTATTTCTGGCTCCAGAGGTTGTTGGTTTCTCAGTTCAGCCAGTCAACATTCCCGAAGTGCACAGAGCACAGTCCTGGTTTACTTCACACTTACGGGCCACTGGGAATGCAAGGACACTTGGCAGCCCAGCAGTCATGGGAAAAAATGCTTGGCTTTCTGCAGCTTGGATGCTTTCCCTGGCTCTAGCGGCTGCAGTACAGAGGAGATCAGGCAATGCCCTTACCACGTGGGCAGCAGGAGGCACGGGCTCTTTTCTCATGTGTCCACAGCCACATCAGATGGTAAACAGTTCCAGGTTCCTCTACACTGTGTCCTCTGCTACAAGTCAGTCCAAATCAAGGAGATGCATTGAAAGGAGTGAATGTGATTTTCAATTGCACCACTAACCTTACCTTCTCTCTTTGCAGCAGCAGCTTGGGCAAAGATTTGAAGGCTGTACCGGTCCGAGGAACTCACATCTTTAGCAGGAAGCTAAGCTGGTACAAGATGGTGATGCTCTGCCAAACCAGGAGGAAAATCCACACTCAGGTGGTGGAATAGTGATTTTTTTCCTGGATTTGTTGAGCAGCAGGAGAACTCTCAGGGTGTGAGCAATAGTAGTAGGCACAGCCCACCAGTCTGAGCCTTCCCCAAGTTCAGGATAGGATGGGTATGGATCTAGGGTCTTGATTTGTTCTGTTTGTAGCAAACTTCATTATCGAGTCAACACAGTAGTCCACACATGGAAGTTAGGTGATGCTGATGGTAACTAGTGTCCTCTTCTCTCGGATACGTTCCACTGCAACTTGGTTTATCCCACTGGAGAAGAGGCCTTTGCTGATCTCAGTGCAGACCCTGAGTGGGATTGGCTGGTAGCCCCAAACTGCAATGCTGCATGCTCCACACACAGCAGCTTCTTCTCTGTGAAAGAACACGAGCAGGCTGCATGGTGCATCACCCCGGATAAATCACAACACCAGGACTGCACCAAGCAGATCATTTTTCATCAAATACACTATATGAGACACAAACCCAGCCTACACAAACTAAGGTGGCTAAACAGAAAGAAACAACAGTATATTGATTTGCAGCAAGGCCAGATCTGAGAGACCAGCCTGTTTCCTCTGAATCCAACCTAAAATATATATTTAATAGGGGCAGCACCATGGCCTTGCCATTCTGGATTGCCACGTGATATCAAAAAGTATTTTTGTTGCCACCAGAAGACCACACCAAATGTTAAATAGTTAACTGTTGTGGTTATTGAGGCTCCACAGGTGCCAATGTTTTCCAGCATCACAGAAGATGTCTTTTTCCTCAGCCCTCTCACGGACTATCTAGAGTTACTAGTCAATACAGGCATGGGCGATTATCATTTGCTTGAACATCAGTAGCACCTGGGACTCCATTCTAGCATGCTATGCACCACACACACAGACTGTGGGACATAGGTTGTGCCCCAGATAAAGGGCGTGAGGTGCAGAGACCCAAACTGACTTAACCATGATCATATAGCAAGTCAGTGGCAGAGCTAGGAAGAGATCTGGGCTCCTACTTGAGCTTCCTCCACTCTCACACCAGCGCACAGCTCCATGAAAGCTTATACTTCAGTCCTCAAACACAGTGCTTTTCAAGTCCAAGCTTCTACTGCAAATAAGCATTCCTTTGGCATGACCAGCCTCTCCCTATAAGGTAGGCACAGTGTTTTCCCCCTTGCACATCCATGATGCATTTTGAGTTGGTCAGATTACTTATTAGTGAGTAAGGCTGCACTGCGAGCACTGACTAGGCATGCCCAGATCCATCTTCTAAACCCAACCCTTCCAAAAGCAATTGAAGAGTTCCTGCCATCCTTCCTGGTTTTATCATGGTCCAATACAAACACCTCCAGCAAGATGGGTCCATGATTTAGGGTGGACTTTTTCTTCCAGGGTCTTTGACAGCCCTTCATGGAGAGACTACCCTGGCAGAAAATATCAAACTATTCAAATGTGCCTTCAGCAGCTTCTTTTAGGTGCATCTCCCCAGTGACTGCAAGCAGCTCAGTGAGTATAGCTGCGGCGTTACTTCTTTCTGTTGCTGATTCTTACTGAGGGGTGAAGCTACAGAAATGGAAATCAGTTCCTGTTCTATACCATGCTGTCAGAAACTTGCTCTCTGGCCAACAATCATGTTGACACTAAGCTAATTACACAGAGACCTCTAAATGTGAGAAATCATTACTGGCCCTGAGTTACAAGCTCCACTTTCCTGACCAACACAAAAGTCTCCAAACGAACATTCAAAGAAGGGTTTCAAAATGCAGTCACTTATTTGTCCCTTGCTTGCCCAAAGACAGAAGACCTGCCAAATATCAGGACAAAATAGACACAGGCACCAATTAATGATGCAAGCCCAGGATTTGTACGTGCTAATGGGCCATTTGGCAGACAAGCACCCATTTCTTGCACACAGATGTACATCTTAGCCACCACTGCCTGCAAATTCGGCCGTCTGGAGCAATTCATCACATAAAGCCTGTTTTCACATAAAAGGAAAATGACAAACTGCAGGGAAAGGGGCTCACTCATTTAGTGTGCAAGATTTAGATAGTGGTAAGACTTATGCGGGAGAGGGAGGCAGAGGGGGTCCCTAACTCTGGCAAAGGTTGGACTGGTCATTGCTGCTAATGCTCTGTGCAGCACACGTTTAGGCAAACTGAGGAAAGGGATTATCATCATGTATCTCCAGGAAAATCCTCAAAGAAAGTCATCCCAAGACTTCAATCACGTTTTCCTTTTCTCACTTTCACCCACTTCTTCCTACTCACATCTCTGTGCCTTGCTCACGGCAATTCTTCTCCTTTGTAATTCATCTGCCCCCAGTAACTATAAACAGTTGGCATGCCCCCGCCTATTTAGCAACTGCAATCTGCTCTCTTGGAACAAACCCCCGCACTGCCTAGTTGTGTCACCCCATAACAGCTTTTGGTCTGGCACGTTGTGGGAGGGAAGTGGGGTGTCTCTCCATGAAGGTCTGTCAGTCCCTGCCCACCCTGGTGCAAGCAGTCCAGGCTTATTGCAAGAACCATTTGCATTCTGGAGATATGCACATTTGAGTGGGCTCTGGTGGGAGATGTGGGCGAAAACCTGACCCAACTTAAGTAGGGGACAAATATCCTATGGACTTCAAATAAGCCCACAATTGCACCCTGTGGATTTTCAAAGGTTAAGCTGTTACATGCATCAGCCAGGGAGATGTTTGCAGGGAATTCTAGACCTCAGCTCATAAGAAGCAGCTTGTTCTGCCTTCCTGATGGAGGACTAGGCAGGTCTATGCTCAGCTCATCTGATTGCTGGTGTCAGCTTATTAAGGGGTCCAGCAGTCCCTAAAGCAAAGCAACTGCTTCCCAAGGAGTGTACGCCTCCCCCAAAATGCAGTGAGCTGAAAGGCAAGAAGAGTTGGGATACGCAGATACAATCCCATGGAGCTGCACCCACTCCTGCCAGAGCCGAATGGGACCCCATCGGTGGGACTGGTTACCTCCTTGGAGGAGGGCAGGCAACACTGACTTTTCCAGAATGAGACTCAGGTGGGCACCCCCAGCCTATTGCAATGACACTTGGGCCCAGAGTACTTCTATATCTGTAACCACACAGCAAAGTGCTGCTTCTCAGGGGCTTTGCCGGGTATTAGCATTCCAAGGTGGTACACGATTGTGCCATAATCCAGCATTTTACAACTATAAAGAAGAAAGGCTGCCTCTTGTATGCCCTGCTAGCTCATTACACTGGTGTGGACAGGCTTCTGCTGCAGAATGTGGAATGCAATAGTCATTCAGAGCCATAAATAAAATATGCCAAAAAGGAAAGGCCAGGAGGCCACCCCTGGCAAGCCCAGGCTTTGAAATGTTTATAAAATACAGCTGCTATTGCATAGATTTAAAAAGGAATTTCCATCTCATGTATAATCCAAGTGTTTCCTCCTCTCCCAGTTGCGGGGGCATTTCTACAACAGAGAAAACCTCAAGCTGCGATTTCTCCTAAACGAAGGCAGGCAGCTGCCAAGGGCTTATACACTACCTGGAAAAGGCCAGCATTGCAGATGGTTCGGCAGCGGTCCCTTTATGCCCCCCATCCTACATGAGAAGAGAAGTAGGGTGATGGTGGCAGAGGACCTGGCTTCACTGGTTCTCCCCTAGATTGGATCACTGATTTGTGGGGTACCTGAGTTTTAGATACTCTAGTTGGAAAGACTGCAATGCACCTAGCTCCTTTGGGTCTCAGTTTTCTTATCTGCAAAAATGGGGCCAATGGCATGTCTTACCCCCGCCCCCTTACCCTCCCAAACACACACACTTTTCTAAAAGGCTTTGAAACCTTGGATTCTACATATAACATGTGAGCCACGTGCCCTTTATTACTGTTACGGCGAGTCAGTAAACCCCATTTTGAAAACCACCAGGGTTCTATGGCATGAATCACTCCTTCCTATGCCTTTGATTTTCACTGTCACTGTATAAATATTTAGCGAGCTCATTGAAGCCTGCAACTGTTCTGCATAATATGAGTAAATAATCATGAAGTGGATGGCATGAACTCGTATTCCCATAGTCTGGCAGGATAATGTGTGTGTGTTTGCATATGCATCTGACATATAATTCCTCTGCTCTAATACGGCTACCAGAAAGCCATTCAGCCGCCTGGGCTGCGGGTGTCCATCCTCACATTTTGCAGTGCATGAAGTGTGCAGAGATTAACCTGTCACGCTTCTGTTTTATCCCTCCATATCATACCACGCCTCAACTCCATTTGTATTAGAGATCTGCAAGCCTAGCTTCACGTTCGAGCTAATTAGCCTGAAATTGAGGCAGAAATGTCTGACATTTCCCATTTTTTTATTATATCCCTGTGTCAATTTTCTGTCTTTAATGGGCTCGAGCAGTTTCTGCTGAGTACAGTTGTTATTTTACACATGGCAGCAGACAGAACAAATATGCTGATGATGAGCTCCAGTGACAAAGTGCATATTCGCAACAGCTAGTTCTTCCAGCCCATTTCATCTGGAAGGAAGCACCCAGCTCAGTCCCTGTTTAAGGCCACACAGAGCAGGAATATGATCAAGGAAGGTGGGGGGTGGGGAGGTGGTGGACTGGAAGTAATTTCAGAGCATGCCAAACAAATGGCAAATTTAATCAATTTGATGGACTTCTCCCAAAGCTTTGCTGGTATTTATACGCACACAGAGCTAACTAACGGCAGCAGGGATGTGGCTAATTGCCCAACTATTCCTCAACAGAAGGAACACAACCGTGTTTCTGAACATCTGTAGCACCATCCACACTCTATTACTAGCAGAGCTAGTAATGCCACCTATTATGGATGCTTAGCACTCCCCCGAATAAAACTCCATTTTTAGTTGCTTAGAAACTTAGCCAAAATTGAGCCATCTGGGCCAATATCATCCATGTAGGGGGTCTACTGAAGGCTTCAAGGTTTTCCTGGCAAACTTCAGCGCTAATGTTTTTCGCTGCCTTCCCTCCCAGCATCGGGAAAAAGATTTAGTTTAAATCATCGCAGGGATCTTTTCTGTGGAAAAACTCTGGCGCCACCCTGCTTTGAGCGTAGACCTGAAACAGAGCAGGTTTTTCTAACAGAGATGTGCCTGTTGCGGTCTCAGTCAATCCATTCGAATGTCAAAGGGAGTTTAAGCTATTGAGTGTGTGTTGTTGGTGGGGTGGGAGGAAAAAAAAACCCATCATAGTTCACACATGCTCAGTAGATATTTTAGCTGCTAATATTTCCCAAGCCTCCTTCCTCACCAAACATATTTCAGGTTCCCGCAGTTCCTTGGGCCAACCTGACTGTGCGCGTGCCAACCTCACGCCATCTGGCACAGTTCGGACACCGCCGTAGGTGCTCCAGCCCAGGTGTGCAACCACACAGACAGAACAGAGCCGTGCCTGGCCACGAATGGCCTACAGTCATTTCACCCGGCATGAAGACTGCAGTCCTGCTTGACGCATGCATGATGAGAACCAATTTATCAGTGAAATCAATGGGGTACCTGAGTTTTAGATATTCTAGGCCCAGATCCACAAAGGTACTTAGGCACACAACTTAAGTACCTGGAATAAGGAGCTCTGTGGTCTGGGTGCAAGCCTCTTAGAGAAGATGTGCTGCAGTCAGGTGCGGGCATACCTGCACTACCTTCCATCTAAACAGCCTGGGTACCAACTGCAGTGAAAGCACAACTCCCTCCATGCGACCCCGAGTACATTCTTGATGGCTGAAACATTCCTGATGTCATGTTGGCTTCACTGCTATCACCTAAAGTAGCTACCCATCACTTCAGCCATGTCTACCCATGTTGCAATGAACTCTCCAACCACCATGCACACCTACCCCAAGGCAGGCAGGCAGGGTTAGGCTCTTGCAGAGTCATATATAAGCAGTGCCTGCCAGGCTAGGGAATGCTTAGCAAACATGAATCTACAAAGCAGGGGAAAGATGGCCAAGATGGAAACCAGCGCCACACAAGGGCAAAACTGCACATCACTTTGCCAGGCATAACATCAAGATGCCTTGCTGCTGTCTCCGGTTTCCCCACGCAGTGTGCTGCACGCTGAAGCGTCGCTGTTGTCCCTTTGGAAAGGAAGATGAACAGGCTTCTCCATCCAGCAGGGTGAAATATGCATCTATCCTGGTGAAATATTAAAGCAATAAGTCACAGCTTTTTACAGCCAGATAAATCCTCTCAGCAGGTACATTGCTGCCTGAGGAATGCAATGCATCGCTTCTTCTGTCTGCCACCAGGCTTCTCTTTGCAGTGTTCAATACACCTTCCTTCCACCTTTTTTTTTTTTTTTTTTTAAAGAAAGACTGCTGGATGAACTGCATGTGGAGAGATCTCTGATCAGGAGCTGCCCGTACCATCACAGGACCCAAGCCCCTCACTGGTATGAGGAATCTAGCATGCAGGATGCATTACTGCCATCTTCTCCTTCCCGGTGGGCACGGAGAACCGAAGGGGCAGATCGTCAAGCATCCAGCACTTTGGGTGCAAAGAGGCACCAAAGCTTGAGCACTCATTTGCTACTGGGAACAGCTTCCAAGGCATCTGGGCTGCCAAATATCATGGATTTAAACACTGAGAAATATGGCCAATTCCCCTCTGCTGTGCCTAGGAATGGAGCCCTTATCTCCCGCATCTCCACCGTGACAGTGTCCTGCTTCTCCAATGCCTTCCTGACTGGCAACCTTCTGGGTACTTTCGCCAAGACTAAACAAGCCACAGAGACTGGAGAGGCCTCCAAGGTTTTTAGGTGATCCCTCTAGGTCTGGGGTAAGAAGAACCTTGTCCTAGCCACTGTCCCCAGCACAGCTGTTCTCCACAGAGAAAGCGCAGGGGTTTGTGATGGTTCAGACTATGTGCAGAAAGCCAGAAGAGCCACAAGGACAGGCATCAGGGCAGGCACCTGGAGGAGCAGAACAGGCTCCCATCCAAGGTGAGCTGGAGAATGGCAGAAATGAGCAAGTTCCCACCTGAGGAATTTGGTGCCATCTACCTCACCTTTGCCCAGGCCCAGGGAATGCCACTGTGAAGCAGGCCCTGCCTGTCCAGGAATTAAGCAATTTAGCCGTGTTGGAGCAGCACTGAGCACACGGCAAGCACACCTGGGTAAGAGTGTGGAGGGATGCCAGGCATGTGCTCTAGGCTACGTGGAGTTGATGATGGCCTCACATTGAGAAGCTGGTGCATGCAGGAGCCAGCGGGCCAGCCATGTTTTACAGCTGCCCTCCCTGGCGTGTCAAGGAGGCAGTGCAGGCATGTGGGGGGCATCAGCCCCATCTCATCCAAAATCCAGGTAAAGATAATAGAGCTCCAGGACCTGACACAGGAGACCATGTATGGGCACATCTTGCAGCTCCATGGTAGCAAGACAAAGGGATGATGCTTGGCATCTGCCATTGCACTCCTGAAGACTGCTCTGTGTGCTGTCCATGCTATGATATATGCAGTGAGCAACAGCCTGTTTCCTGTAACAGTCTACCTATTGAGCCCTTCCCCTACGCAGGATTTGGGCCCCAGCATACCTGACACCTGCATTTCAGTGCTGCTGCATCTCTAGCCAGTGGAGATTTACACTTCTGCTGTTCAAGGCCCAAGTCCTTGCATTAAAATATTCTCACCTGAATTTGAGAGCACCCAGCACTTCAGCGCTGATGCTTGGGGCTGACCCGCAGGGTCTGGGCACACAAGTTACTGCGAGGTAAAAGAGGGTGAGGCATTACTTCACATCAGGTGCTCTGACAATGAACACTCTTGCCCCACAGTTGATTAACGTCAGCATAGCTCTTACCGGAAGAGGGCAAAGTTACCACGGGGTAAGGAACACACACATGGACAGTTACCACAAAACAGATGGAGGGGTAAAGCCTCTTTCTCCATTGCCTCTTGGTATCTCTAGTGTGCTCAGGCTCCATGTCCCCACACTTTGTCCCAGCATTTATATGAGAGAAAAGTGGGTATAAAAAAAAAATCACTTCTTCCGATTTAGACTCTGACTCGCCGAATTACCTTAGGAAATTTGGTTCCTCTCAGCATTTCTTTCCAGTTCATCCAACATGGCTCTAAAGACTGTAAAGCACTTCAGGGCTGGGTCTGCATTCACCGTTTCTAGCAGAGGGAAAGGCTGATGTCAGTTAAGTTTATAATTTATTATGCACTGTGTGCTAATGAAGAGGACGAAGAAAGAATAGGTGCAAGGTGACAGAATCTCTATGGCATGCAGGATCAGGCTTCCCAACATCAGCTCCTGGCATTCAATGCAGAACACGCCAAGAAAAAATAACCTTATAAACATGTCAAGCACCCAATTGCCCCCATGGTTCCCAGAGCCAATTGCTGCTCGGAGCAACACACACAACCCATGTCAAGCTCTACCTCAATAGCATTCCCACGGTTTAGTGCTGAGTTGGCACCTACCTTTACAAACCACAGCTATAGGGCGCTTTAGTACAGCCCATTTCCATTGAGAAAGGGACCCAGTTAATATGCACTTGTCATTCTCATTTGCAGATGCAATTTCAAGTGCTATCAATTATTCAGGGAGCAGCTAACTCCTGCTTTGAGCAGCACCACATATCTGGCTGCCGATCACAGCGCCGGCTGCTAGGAAAAAAGCGGCTGGAAATATTTTCCTGATTCATTAGCTGTTTGAGATGCAGAAGGCAGTAAAGCACTTGTTCAGTTGTTGCTTATGCAAACAGAGTCACTGCCATTAAAAGTGTCTCTCTATGTAATAACAACTCTTCTCTGCAGCTAGAACAGAAATGAAAGGAGGCAACTCTGAACTAGAGAAGAAAATGGCAGGGGGCAAGGGAAAGGATAGTTTCTATTTACGAGAAACAACTGATGATCAAAGACATTCAGTATTTCAAAGTCTGTTGCCCGGTTTATCTGCACACAGGGATAGGAATACAAGTGACAGGTGGCTCGATTCATGCTACAGGTCACGGCAGTGGCAGGGTAGCACTGGCTTTTTCATCTGAGCTACCTGGCTCTGACAAAATGGAGCTTGCTACTGAACATCTGTGCCAGTGGGCTGGGTGCCCTGAGTTAGACCCCTAGTGGCAAAAAGGCATGATGCCCAAGATGGTTATTTAAAGCTAAATGCAAGCACTGCAAAGAGCTAAGTGTCCTTTTCCACAGCCCCTCTCTGCCAGCAGAGCAGGTAGGCAGCTACAATCAGATTCAAGGGAGTTGCTGAACAGCAAAATGAAGAGGCGACTGTGGGCAGCAGCATCTTCCACAGTTATGCACCCACTAGCCAAGGGAAAGCTGGGGCCCTACATTTCTGCAGCCCTGATTGATGCCATTGGGATGAAAGCAGAAGCCACAGTAGGAGAGAGACAAGGCAATGGCAATCCCAGTTCCTGGACATGCTGCCAGGTCCTATCACAAATCCTCCATGGGCAGCCCCAGAGGGACACTCTGTTGTTCCCTGGCAGCGAGCACGGCTGGCAGAGCATGGTCTCTGAGCAGTTGCTGGGCTGGTACCACTGAAAGGCAGAAAATGAGTTCAGACATCTCCCATTGCAGCTGCAGTGGTTTGTCTGTCCATTAGCAAGCACATGCACCAGCCTCAGTGTCTCTAGGGTTAGGGATAGACTTTCAAAAAGCCTGAGCCTGAATTGATTCAATCTTTGCAGGTTAGTCTAACCTGGCTAGGCTAGTTTGTAACTTCACAGACATCCCAGACATGCAGGCACAGGCCTGCAGTGCCTCAGGCTAGAAGGCAGGGGGCACTAGAGCAGCCCTCCCTTCCCTTGTACAGTACTGAGCTGAAGGGGGCATGACCAGGCCCCAGTAGGACACTCTGATTAGGGAGGGGTTTCCCACCTCCTGAGCAGCCCAGCCGGGAATTGATAACAGTGTTTATCACTCCATTATGAAAACAGAAGGACATTACCAGCTACCTGTTGATTCTGCCTTTGTCCTGTCTGCCACAGCACAGACCATAGGCAGCGCGTGGTCCGCTAGCTAATGCTGAGAGGTATCTTTAAGGCAGAGGGGACAGGGAGGGGGGGAGCAGGCAGATGCCTACAGTCTCTGCCAGAGCTGCAGCCAGGGAGCAGAGGGGAGGGGCCAGCCCTGCTATGGAGCAGACAGCCCTGCCCAGCCCAGAAAGCATGACAGGATGCTGGGGTAGTCTGGTTTAATTTAAACCAGCAAGGGGTCTGGGACAGACATTGCATAAACTGGTTTGACCCAAATCAGTTAAGTCTGATACTACATTCAACCAGATTAATCTTAAACTGGTTTAAGCCATTTTCAAACTGGTTTATGTGCACTGAATATCTGTTCTGTTACAGATTTAAACCAGTTTCTGATCACTTTAATCAGTTTATGTGTAATGTCTGTCCCTAGCCCGTAGGACATGACTGGGCATTTTACAGGGGGCATGCTTAGGCAGGGAACTGGCAGAGACGAGAGCCTAGTGGTTACACACACCACACACCCAACCCCAGTACATCGGCAAACAAAGACACAAGGAGACAAGATGCAAAACTATCTGCCTGACTTAAGTGTGCACCTCTGCCGCACCAGGGATAGATAACATGCAAGAGGCCCCACCATCCTTTATGAGCACAACGGTTGTGCTGACTTTGGGGATAAGCTAGGGAGAGGTACAGGACTTCCATTATGAGTGGCTGATACTCCCACAATACATGTATTTACAAAGAGGCACCATCCATGGAGCCAGCTAACACAGCATCCTAGCTCTGCAAACAGAGACAAATGAAATAATTAGTGAAACGAGTGTTCTGGGCAGCTGCTTGAATGCCCCGCAGAGCAGGGAAAGGTCAAGTGGAGCTTGTAGAAAGGGCAGTCCAGTCTCCACAGCTGTGTTGGCACCAGCTAGCCTGCCAGAAGAGCAGCTTTCTTAGCCAAGAAGCCAGGCCCATGTTCTTGCATCTCAAAATGAACGAAATTGCATTTCTCAAGCAGATTTGGAGTTTGCTTGCAAGAGCTCAGGTTAGCAGAGCACATAACAGGAGCATCTGGAACAATTACAGAGAAAGGAACCCAGAGGGACAGGTGGAGATGACACAAAGGCCAGTTGGCAAACACTTCGCTAATGGCAAAACCAAAAGACACTGTCTTGTCCCCAATGCCAAAGACTGTGTTGAACTGTACCTTGCTTCACGTAGGTCCTAATGAAGTCACGTCTTGGTCATTCAGGAAGCTTTGTACCAACATCGAACAAACAATGAATAATCACTCCCTCAAGAGTTTCCACTCCAAGCACAGCTCAGACTTCAGCCTCTGGGATGTTACAGCCCCACTATTTCTCCAGGCCTCTACAGAGTCCTCCAGCGAAGACAGTATTGGTGAGACTACAGCTGTATGAATAATGCACTTGTTTGGCTCAGTAGCCGCATGGAAAAAGAAATACAATTCAGATTGACCCAAAAGAAAAAATTCACCCCAAACCAAAATTTGAAAAAGCTTCCATTCAAGTTAGAGAGAGGTTTTCTCCAGCTCAAAGAGTAGAACATTTTATTTGGCTTTCGAGGTATTTGAACTTTCTTGAAATCAGCCTGCTGTTCCAAAAGACAAGGAAAAAAAACCCCAGATGACTTTAGAAATGTGCTCCTCTTAATTTTTAACTTTTTTGTTGAATATGAACTGTAGTTGTGGAATTCAAATGGAATGTGCAAAGAGTTGCAGTCACTTCGATTTATCTGAAAAGTTTATTTATAGACATTAGATTTCATAGACATTAGGGCTGGAAGGGACCTCAGAAGATCATCGAGTCCAAAAAACCAAGACATTCATCCAGCTCTTGTAGAGAACGATATGCCTACTTTGAAGGGGGGAGGGAGGAATAATAAAGAGGAGGATAAAAAGAAAAGAAACAAAGCTTTCCAGCCATTCACTATCCTTCAAAAAAAGAAAAAGCAAAGAGGTGGCACAAGCCCAATGCCTTTTTTCCTATGCAACTCCTATTTAAGAATTCTTCATATTTTCCAAAGGAGGAAGCAACTGTGACCCCCTGAAACCTGAGATACTGCTCCTGCCTTGGTTCAAGGTCACTTGCATCATAACAGAGTCTTACAGGAGAGCTGAGAGACTCTTCACCAGCTAAGAACTGCCTGCCCAGAGGAGCTTTCTATCTACTGACTCCTCTGTGAAATCCTATGAAATGTGAACTTTCAGTTCTACCCAGGAGAACTTTTACAACCTTTTCTCTGATGCCTGATGAAGGGTGTTTGTGCCCGAAAGCTTGCAATTAAAGATTTTTTTTTTTGCAAAAATTTCATTGGTCTAATAAAATATATCACCTTTACCATGAGCCCTGATTATTGTACTGTGATGGTGTTACCCAGCCAGTAGAGCAGGGTCCAGCGGGTGCCGCACCCTTGTGCCCATATCCTACCGTTGCTGTAAAGCACAAGTACTGTAGCAGCTGCTGATGTTAGAGAATGTGTGTTCCCCGCCCTATCTGTCCCTTCCTGCCATCCCAATCTTACTGCATGCGCATCAGTCCGGTATTCTACCTTTCTTTCTAGAGCCCTTGGGATAAACAACATGCAGAAATGGTAGTGCTTTGCTGAAATTCCTCGGGAGCAAATTCCCCTTGCAAAGAGAAACCTTTATGCATGGGGACATGGGTGGGGAGGGGAAGAAGAGCAGAGCAGCAGCCCTGGGCAAGGGCAGGGGAAAAACTAGGAGCTGTATCAACCGCACAAGCTATTCCTTGAATCAGAAATGGGAGCCAAGACTCCTGGCTTCTATCCCTGGTTCTGCCCTCAGACCGCTCTAACCCCACTCACCTCCATAGCCTAGCTACCCATCTGTTTAGCAGATGCAATAACAAGTACCTACCTGCTTTGGGAAGGAGATTTGATTATTATAACTGCTCCAAGATCACCAGATGAGAGGTGCAAAGTCATTTCCACTTGTTGGCTTTTCATACCTTCTTCCCTGTGCTGTGAAAAGGGAATCTCCACAACTATGCAGGCACATCACGTGCTCCTTCTGGCAATGCTGAGGGCCAAACTAAGTTCACAGCAAAGACACTTAAAGTCCCTGCTGCAGTCATTTTATGAATCAGTGATTTGTTACCAAATGGCGGTTTAGTTGGTAAGCAGCCAATGAGCAGGTGAAACGGGCTTCAACTCAGCTCAGTCGGCATAAAATGCCAATTAACAAAAACAAGAAAGCAGACTAAGGAACTGGAGGGATGGCGAGCACTGAGAGGAAGGGGCCTGGCTCCGTAATGAACCCACTCACCTACGCAGACAGGTGACTGGCAACTGAACAACAAGACGGCTCAGGCTATCGATACAGAATCTACCCTGGCTGGTGCGCAGGGACATGGCTAGGAACCAGGACACCTGGGGTGCCTGTACACACCATGGATTTTAATCCTCATTAAATTAAATGGGTTTATACAATTTAAACTTGTTTATTTTGGAGTGTCGCATCTGTATTTACACGCGCTAGGTTTTCAAACAAATTAAGCCAGGTCCCTGGCCAATGCCAGGAGAGCGGGATGGCCCAGTGCTGCCCCCCTGGCCCGGGGCACCCCATGCCTATGCCCTGCCACACAGCTATGGAAGCAGGGAGCTGGCAAACCACACAAGAAAAAACCCCAAAACAATGACATCCGAGGAGTGTTACTTTAAAAAAGTGAAGCAATTCGAAAGCAAAAGCCATTCAAAGGGGTGAACTACAAAATAGTTGCAGTGCCATCTGGTGGACAAAGAGGCTCATTACACGTCTTTGAGTGCCTTTGTGTTTGCACACAATGAATCCGTGGATGTGATGCTTTAATTCCCAGGGAGCCAAACTCAACTAGATCTGAGAAGGTTTAGTTCAATGCACAAGAAAGACTTCTAAAGTGTTGGGAAATCCTGCTTGTACAAACAGACATGCAGTTGCAGCACATGAAAGGGCAACAATCATGGTATGTACATGAGCCCCTGGGCCCTAGCCCTGCTTTGGGTGGGGAGAGGTGGATGATTGGGAGCAGTGCATCCTCGAGTGCTGGAACACTTCAGATTGCTCATTTTTATCTCTGTGACGCAGACTGAAGTTACCCTAATGCAAGCGAGGTAGCACAGCAGAGAGTTAACCCTCACCTGAAGTAGCATCACTGAGATGCTCAGAGGGCACTTAGCACAAGTTAAGTGGCTTTAGCATGCAGACACTCACCTTTTAAGTGGTCTTAGTATGCTCTAAGTGCAAGGTGTAACTTCACCCTCAGCCACCACCACATTCCACCCAAACAAGCATAGGTGTTCAGAGCAACAGTTCATGACAGGAAGCAGAGAACAATGCTGCAGTCATTTGAAGATGCAGAAGGAAATTAAATCTGAAGCCTCTAAGAAGCTGAGCTAAAATATCATAGTCCATTAGCTAGTGGCTAGATGAACAGCCTTTACTTTTTTTGTTCCAGATAAGTTCATTCCAACATTGTCCAGGTGGCTGAGGGTGGGGGTGTTGATGAAAGACCATGTCCTTCCATTGTATGAAGAATGGTTGTGATTAACAAAGTATGCAACGTGTTCTGATAAGGAGTCAAATAAATGTCACAAACTCAACTGTTATGTAAGGGGTAGGACATAGCCACAAATTTAATATGGAAATGTCGAAGCTGAGTGGTCTAAATTTTAATTTATTTAGCAATGAAGGCACATAAAAGCTCTAATAACTTGATCAGTGGTAATTAGCTCTTTGTAATGTAGATGAACGAGGAAGCAGTTAAGATGCAAAATACTTTTAAAAACAGCACCAAGAGAGGGAGCTTGGGGTGAAGATGCCCCGAGTACCCTGCCAAGAAGGGAGGCACTCCAGCCTCAAGGGGACAGCTTGTCCCATGCATGATTGTTAACATTAAAGACTTTGCAAGCCAGAGACTGGAGGTGAGGGAAGCCAGAGAATGCAGCCTACAAGCTTGGCAAGCAAGGGGGATGTCCAACATTGGGGTCAGACCCCTGAGGCCTGCTACAGGAAGGAGCTAAAACATGGGAGAGTCCTTTTCCATTTAACACCTGTTAGTCCTAGATTTTGAGCTGCCTATATTCTCAGACCTTTGATGCTGGTATACATGTGCAACTGGTATGCGCACATAGCTGCATATGTTGCCAGAAAATGCATAGCCTACTACATGTGCTCTGTCTGCAGGCCTAGTGCAGTGCATCCCCACGTCTGCTTGGAAACTTAATGGCTCCCTCCCTGTACATGCTAAAAATGGACCTTAAGGCCTTTCTGACTGATCGGCAACCATTCCACATTTGTCATGTCACAAATATCCAACAAAACTTGGGGCTGCTTTTTCTGCTGTTTTGGAACCAGTTTCCCCTTTATAATAGCAATTATAGAAAACCCGCATAGGGTTAGGCTATTACTGCATTTCTCAAGCAGCTCCTTCCTTAGGGAAGTCAGAAACCAGCAAGGGTGACATTCTGGCTCTGCTGAAGCCCATAGTAAAATTCTCACTGGCCACATCAAAACCTAGATGATCTCCCCAAAGTATAAGGGTCCTCAGATGGGAAGCTGTAGACAAAGCACAAGTCTTCTCATTGCACATGAGCAACAGCTGCAAAAACAAACAAGTAGAAATCCCTCTGATAAGTGGGAAATATGGTTTTGTTTGTCTGTTTTTGAAGCAGTGAATAATGTGCTGGGCTACATTACAAAGAACTAGGACATGGTTCCTGCTCTGGAGACCATATCATCCAAATTCATCATGAGACAGCAAAGGGACAGGGAGAAGTTTAGCTAGGAGAAGAGAAGACCTGGGGTGTGGACTTGAGAAAAGTCTTCAAATAGCTGAAGGGAGATTATAGAATGGATGGAGATGGGCTTTTCTCTGTGGCTATAGGGGACAATACTAGGAGCTACAGGCTCAAGTTGCAAGAGGGGAAATTTAAGATGGAAATTAGGAAGAACTTTCTGACTGTGAGAGTGGTCAGGTGTTGGAACAGACCACCTAGAGAAGTTGTGGATTCTTCATGTTTGGAAACTGTCAAGACCAGGTTAGCTGGACATCTCTCTTCATATCTGGGACCTGTTTTGCTGGGTGTGTGGCCACTCAATCTGTTCCTTAACAGAGATGAACTGCACTCATCGAGCCTAGTGATGCTTGCAAAACACTGGGTTCTCTTCATCTTTTCTTGGCTCAAGAAGACACAGAGGTTCAATCAGTCCATACTGCAGAATGATCTCCTAGTTTGGTGACAAGTCCCTGTACTAAGAAGGACAGAAGTGAGGAAAGGACCCCACACTCCTAGCTCTTGTGACTCTGAAGTGTCTCCCAAGATCAGGTCACAGAATATATAGCTCCCTTCTCACCCTTTCATTCAGCTCCTAACAATACTGGTAAGTAGAGTGAGGTATGTGACAATTAAAGCACAGGCAGTGTAACAGGCCATAATAACAAGAAGTGGGAGAGGATTACATAATTATTGATATTTGTGTTTACCTGTGGTTTGAAACCAGGCAGCTCTCCAAATAGCAGAGCCCGACTTGGCTGTGCCGGTCCTAGGAAGGTGCATCTGAATATACTGGCTCATTGAATCAGTGAGCCTGAGGCTCTCATTTCATACCCCACAGCCCACAAGGGAGTGAGGTGGCTACCATCCTGTCACGCTCTTTTTAACTTAGGTTTAACTTAGGTTCCATTCACTGTACTCCAGTTTGAATCCTTCAGACCAGAGAAATCTTATCTCTCCCTTTGTATTACCAGGGTTTCCTCAGAATTTCCCTTCCCTAAGCCTACATGCCTGTTCTTCCTCTGCCCTTAGAGTAGTGTGGGCACTTTTTTTCTTGGCTTTGGCATCTCTTTGGCATCCCCTTTCCCTATGGGAGGGGAAAGGGATGTAACATGTCCCTCTTTCTTGAACACAAAGACTCCAAGGGGCCCTAAGGTTATTTCCTAAGATGATTTTACCCAGACAAAGTTAGCAATGGTCATGGGTCAGCACGATACGCTGAAGGCCTGCAACAAGCAGTCTGACCCCCAGAAACACCTTTCTTTGGGACTATCTGGTCTCTAAGCCACCCCCAAGCAAACCCCTGGCCTTTGATAGGAACTTCTTTTCCTTGCTTGCCACTCTGCAGCTGACCTCTCACATTTAGCAGAGCCAAGAAGGACAGACAAGCCTCAAGTGGCTCTTTTGCATTTAGCCCTGCTTTGCAGCAGTTGCCTAGCTGGTTAAAACCCTTCATTCTTCTCACAATTCTTTCTCCACCACTGTTTCGTTCCCCACTTGCCAATGTCAGAAGTGCACCGAGAAACCAGCATAATCTGCTAGCAATTACACTCTCCTGGCTCTGCCAGCTGTGTTTTCTCATAAGCCTGCTCAGCTCAGGCCAAATTTAGATAATTTCACTCATTCTGAAAACCACAAGAACAAGCGGCACTTTTCTGCAGGGAGAGGAGGTTGTTTCCATGAGAAAACCAGCACTTTGGCAGTCTGGGTTGTTGCAAATCAGAATTGTTCTCCATTGTGCAGTGCAATGGAAAAATCCTTCCTTTGCGCAGCTCCAATGCAAAATCAGACTTAAAACAGAAAAGCCAGTATGCCTCAGACAGGCCAGATTCTTGAAGAAGAATGAACACATTTCATTATCTTCAGATATGCAGGCAAGTACTACCTGAAAGAGAAGCCCTTCTGTTTTGTAGAGCTGCTGCCTACTTCAAATGTGCTGCTAGGCAGCCCTAGGATCAAATCTTCAGGGGCCTTTACAGCCATGAAGGCCACAGATAGAGAAGAAACTCTGGATCATATGCCGTGATGGTGCAGTAAACAGAGGAGAGAGCAGTGGACCACATCCACTACCCTATTCCAACTGTACCTTGCATGGTCCTCGAGGAGCACGTTTGATCACCCTGGGCCTTGCCTCTGTGACTCACGTAGAGTCTACACTGTAGACCTACTCCTAGAAACACAAGCCATCGGTTTCAGAAGCTGGCTCTAAAAAACCTTCTGCAGCTGTGTTCATCTGATGACACCATGCTCTAGGTTTGATTTTAAAGAAACAAAAATAATTG